CCCCCCCCCCCCCCGGCAATTTATTATTGAAGAAACTACATTGTTCTGTTAAAGTTTCTGACAGCCTGCATCTTGGCGATTGTATCCCCGTGGGGTGGTTTAACAAATTCTTTGCAGTTTAAAATATTCCTCTATCCTCTAGTTTTGTAAATTGGTACCTGGATATAGAGGCTTAATTAGGTTTAGATTTGATTACTTTTTGGCAAGAATATTTGATAGTCAGTGTTGTGTGCTTTCGATGATTATCTCTTACTGTGATATCAGCGGCAGTTGGTGCTCAGTGCCCAGGTCCATCATTGATTCATTAGTGGTTGATAAAAATGATGATGTTTTAATTCTATCATTATCATTTTTTTTTTGTTTTTTAGTTGGAATATTTCCATAAAGAGGAATTTCCACTCGTCTTCTCTCTGGTGGTACAGTTTGTATTTGAGGGAAGAAGATGCACTTCTTTCCATTATTTGTTATTTTCAATATTAAGGACTTGCTTCCTGCTATCCTCCAATGCCTACATAGTGGTCTTTTTTTTTTTTTAAGTATTATTATGGACTTATGGATTTAAACATATTTGTGCTACTCATTTCAGTTTGAAGGTGTTTGACTTTGACATATACCACAATGTATACCAAACTTCACTTAGTCATTAGGTTTTAACTGTCAAGCCCATTTACGTCTAATTGCAGCAGAGGTGATCTCCTTTGAATTTTTTTTTTTTAACGTTTTATTTATTTTTGAGACAGAGACACAGCATGAACGGGGGAGGGGCAGAGAGAGAGGGAGACACAGAATCGGAAGCAGGCTCCAGGCTCCGAGCCACCAGCCCAGAGCCCGACGCGGGGCTTGAACTCACGGACTGCGAGATCGTGACCTGAGCTGAAGTCGGCCGCTTAACCGACTGAGCCACCCAGGCGCCCCGAGGTGATCTCCTTTGAATCAGCCACAACTCATATGTCTGTTTCAGATTTCAGTAATGTGATCAGCAAGAGTGATGTGAAGTCATTAGCTGAAGCTGATGAACAGGAAGTCGTGGCTGAGGTTCAGGTAAACGTATTGGTCCTCTAACACATCTCTTGTTATTGGCCCTTTTTAAAGATTTGCATCTAAAATAAGAAAAGTGCTGTCTCAAGGGAGGCTGTTGATCAGACACAATAAATGTGCATTGCATCAAACTATTCTCATATTTAGAAAGTTTGTAAGAGGTATCAAATTGAGGGAAAACAAAATTAGAGGAATCAGTGCAAATAAGGAGATTGCACTGGTATTGGATCCTATTGCATGGATAAGGAGGGTTTCATAGGGTTGGGGACAGGGTCAGATATATCTTCTAGTTTTATGAACCACATTATAAGAATGTTCATCTACAGGGCTGTGTCTGATTGGAAAAGAATAGAAAGTAAAGGATGTGAGTGAGGTTTGTTAAAGTTCTGTTTGTGATTATTTTGCTCTGTCTGGGAGGTAAAAAGCATACTTTTGTCATTAGGTTAAAACTTGGTAACTTCTAAATATTTATTCTGCATGGTATAGAATACGTGGCATTAGAACATACCACGTTACCTTTTACTTAAACGCTTTAGTGTTCTTGGATACATTTATCACAAATGTTTGAATACATTTATCACCTAAGCGAAGAATAGGGCAGCAAATAAATGAGTTTTGGATTTTCAGAAGGATGTGCTAGGTGGTAAAGGAATGAAAAAGAATGACCTATTTTATTTTTATTTTTTTATTAAAAAAAATTTTTTTTTAATGTTTATTTATCTTTGAGAGAGAGAGAAACAGGATGCGAGTGGGTTAGGGGCAGACAGAGAGGGAGACGAAGAATCCGAAGCAAGCTCCAGGCTCCAAGCTGCCAGCACAGAGCCCAACGCAGGTCTCGAACCCACAAGCCATGAGATCATGACGTGAGCCAAAGTCAGACACTCAACCGACTCAGCCACCCAGGAGCCCCAAGAATGACCTATTTTAAATCATGTTCTGCCTCATGAGAATACACTGGATTAAAACAAAACAAAAAAAAAGAATACACTGAACAGCAAAGTTCTTTTTCATCTGTGTGTGACATTGTATATCCTATAGCAGTGTCTTAATTTTACTAATTGATAAATGTGCACAGAAGTCTCCAGAAATGTAATATTTATACTTCTACAACTTTGTTTTTTGTTTTTTAAAAGATTTATTATTATTGCTACTATTTTATAATTATTTTATTCCCCCACATTGCTCCCCCTGCATTTGCTCAAATTTGATTATATCACATAGTATTATATTACATATGAAAATGTTACTTTATCATCAGTTGGAATTTATGAAACAAATGACTGATCTTGTGCTTCGTTTGCAGGAATTTTATGGTGATTACATTGCTGTGAATCCACATTTGTTTTCCCTGAATATTTTGGGTTGCTGCCAGGTATGGAATGAAAGGATAAAAAAATAAGTTTATCAGGTGGGAGTTAATTCAGCAAGTAATTGGACTTGTAAGAAAAAATTCAAATATTTTCTCTGATAATATATTTTTAACAAAAAGGGTCGAAATTGGGATCCAGCCCAGCTATCCAGAACAACTCAAGGACTGACGGCTCTCCTTCTATCTCTGAAGAAGTGTCCCATGATTCGTTATCAGCTTTCATCAGAGTCAGCAAAGAGACTTGCAGAATGTGTTAAGGTATGGCTTTTTCTATCCCCAGTTCCAAAGACCATTCATTTCCTTATCATATTTCAGAAACTATAGGAATAGTTTATCTATAACCAATGAGGTGATATGTTAGGTTTACTGGCAAAGAGGTAGATATTTGTAATAAAAAACCAAAAGCAACAAATTAGAGCTGATATTCTTAGGCTTAACTCAAAAAAAATTTGCAAGCTATTTAACCTATTTTGATCCAGTTAAGCCATTGGTAAAATAGAGTTTTAAATACTAACCTCTTAAACAGGACGCTACCAGACGTTGTCAAGCTTTTGAATCCTTTTCTGGAAAGCTTATGAAGATGCAAAGAACTGTTGTTAAATGTGTATTTTATATATTAATTTTATGTTTATATCATCTCTGTCTGTAACTAATTGGTTGACCAAATCATCTTTCTGTATCATCCACAGCAAGTAATAACTAAAGAATATGAACTGTTTGAATTCCGGCGGACTGAGGTTCCTCCGTTGCTGCTTATTTTAGATCGTTGCGATGATGCCATCACCCCATTGCTAAACCAGGTGCAGAACCCTTTATTAGCATAATACAAATACAATTTCATGTGGTATTCATCAAAATGCCAATGTGGAAATGAACAATGTCATCCATGTATTCTCCTCCTTATTTTCAGCTTTTCTTTTTTTTGCCTTGTATTTCCTATAATTTTGGTATCAACCACGGTCATCTTCGATTCTTTCTTCTGCTTTATCCTTTCTGTCCCTTTCTACCACCACCTTCACCTCTAATCAAGGCAACTTCTAGGTTCTGTAGATTCTGCTTTTCCAGTGTCTATCTGCAATTTCCCATTCATACTGCTGTCACCTTGTCATAAACCCTTAATCTTTTATAAGATTACTGAAATAGTCATCTACTTGATTCCTCACTCTTATTTCTTATTTTCCTTTTTTATAAGAAAACAGATATACACTTTTATTTATTTACTTTTCAGTAAGTTTAAGTCCTTGAGGATACAGAATCACATGGATTCTGTGTCCAATGGCCTTAGCAGGTAGGTTGCTTTGGAACTGACATGAACCATGCTGCTGTTTCCTTGAATAGGAGCTACCTTTTCCTAGATTACTCTGGTTTTCTTCGTTTCGCCACCAGGAGTCACTGTGTTGTTCTTTTCTTGGTACACATAAGTACATCTCTTGCCTAGATAGAATTCAGTTTCATTCTGAGCATAAACACCTTCAGTTTTAAGAAGAGCTGTATGCTCCCTCTGGTTCTGGAGACCCTGCTTATGGTCAGCAAAAATGGCATTGGACCATAGCCTTCCAGGCATATTTGTCATTTTAGGAATCCTGTTCCCAGCAGGCCTTCACAGGCTCCAAGATTGCTGAAACAGAAGGGGCTTGATTCTCCACTTTTAATTTCTTCCCACTCTAATATATTCCACAGTGTTGTTAAATTTATTTATTTATTTATTTATTTATTTATTTATATGTAGAGAGAGAGCACGTGCGCTAGCGAGCACAAGTGGGGAAGGGGCAGAGGAAGGGAGAGAATCCCAAGCAGGCTCCACACTGCCAGCACGGAGCCCAATGGGGGGCTTGAACCAACAAAACAGTAAGATCATGACCTGAGCCGAAATCAAGAATTGGATGCTTAACCAACTGAACCACCCAGGCGTCCCTTAAATTATTTTCCTAAAGCACAGTTCTGATCTTTTTACTCTTGACTCAAAAATCTTCATTGCTTCCCATTTGCCTACTGGCTTAAATACAGACTCCTGAACTTGGCGTCTAAGAGCCTTGACAATATAGGCCCAACTTTAACCTACAGCTCAGGACACTTAACCGACTGAGCCACCCAGGTGCTCCAACTGATAATTTTAATTATAGAGTAAGTGCTAATGGTAGACGCATGCACAGGATGCTGCCTATGGAAGCATAAACATTTTGTTGTACTGAATTTACATACCCCAATGAAACTTGCTTTTTTAAGGATTCATTTGGCAAATATTTTCGGAAATTAAACACCTTCTTTTATAACCTCTTAAGTTCTTTCTTAATAAATCTATATTGCTTAAGATGAAATGTATAAATCTTTCTAGCATTTAGATTCTAGAGTTAGAGAGTAATTGGCTGGAAAATACTTAGTTTTGTCTAAAGGACCTAGGGCTAAAAGTAACCCATTCTCCATAAATGGTGAGAAGGCAAAATTTGGAGTTTCTCCTTTCCATTTTTGCCAAATAAGTTCACATTTTGTAAGAATGGAAACCAATCCTTCCTCACAATTCATGTTAAGGAAAAATAGGAAATAAAATGGATACAGAGGCAAGCTTCTGAATATGTGTGTTTTGATCAACTTACAAGGTTTTTTTCTGTTAATATTAGTGTTCCCAGGATAAATATAGCACCACTCAGATCTGCAAGAACACACTTCTCATGCTGCAGAAAACCACAGAAGCGTACAGGAAATGGTACAGCTTGTAACTGCAGTACCAATATAGCCCTATCTGTGAAGCCAAAAATATACTCTTAATTCACGGGCAAAAAGTAGAGCTAATGATAGATCTAATTTGTTTTCTTTCTATCAGGAATATTAATCTCGCTGCCCCTCTTCCAAAAGTGTAAACTCTAAAAGTATTTTGACTTTTAGTTTAACCAACTACAGTAAGTCTTAATGCTTAGTATAACACAAAGTATTAATAAAACTTGAACTAAATAAAGAGCCTCTGTGTAAAGAAGATTAGTTGCTAAGAATGTTACCAGTTTTTCTTTGTTTTCCTGAACATTTGCTATTTCCATGTTTTACCAGTTACCAATTTTTCTGTCCTACTTCTTCATTTAGTGGACATATCAGGCCATGGTCCATGAACTACTGGGCATAAACAACAATCGGATTGATCTTTCCAGAGTGCCGGGGATCAGTAAAGACTTAAGAGAGGTGGTCCTATCTGCTGAAAACGATGAATTCTATGCTAATGTAGGTTAAAATTTTTTTTCATTGTTTTTCATTATTTTTCTGTAAGAAGGCCGGTGTTGACTAATGTAGGTTAAAATTTTTTTTCATTGTTTTTCATTATTTTTATGTAAGAAGGCTGGTGTTGACTTGTTCGAATGAAAACAGGTATGGGATTTCATGGGGAAGGTTGTTGAAGCATCCTGTAGATAAACTGCATCTCAAGAGAAGGCAGAAGATTTGGATTCTGACCCTTTAACAGTTTTTTCCCATAGAAATCACATATTTAGTTTTATACTCTCAGAATTAGAACCCGATTTATTTACTTCCTTCCCTTCTGTAGCCCTTTGTGAGAATAGTAATGGCATTCATCACCCGTGTCCTGGCCAGTGTCCAGACTTGGTCATTATAATGGAATTTTCTTGCCTTTCAATTCTGTCTTTGGGATTCTTTCTCACTTCTTTTATTTTATTTATTTATTTATTTATTTATTTATTTTTCAATATATGAAATTTATTGTCAAATTGGTTTCCATTTCTCACTTCTTTTAAATGATCTGGAAGTCAGACTCATTGCTGGAACTGTTTCCAACTTCCTTTTTCACAGAATATGTACCTGAACTTTGCTGAGATTGGTAGCAATATAAAGAATCTCATGGAAGACTTTCAGAAGAAGAAACCAAAAGAACAGCAAAAACTAGAATCAATAGCAGACATGAAGGTAAATTGAACATGTTCATGGATGACTAACATGCAAGACTTTGGAACTATTCATGTAAGCAATATTTCTAGAATATTCTCAGTCTGATTTCTGCCTACATTCATTTGTTTGGTTTGAAATAATTTTCTGTACTATTTCTCTTTAGGAAACAGTATAGTGAAAACTTCATAACAAGCCATGTACTTTTTTCCATTCTTCAGTCACATTTGGACTATTTAAAGAGTCAGTGTATTGACATATACCAGTTCTTATCTTCTTAAGCATAAACAAAATACCATGTGATTGGTAGATGCCTTAGTCTGGGCAGAACAATTCCTGTTTATTTTTTCCCTTCTTCATACATGTCTATCCTCAGTCAAATAACAGAACCCCCAATTGATGTCTTTCCCATGGCAGGCCTTTGTTGAGAATTACCCACAGTTTAAGAAGATGTCTGGGACGGTATCAAAGCATGTGACAGTGGTTGGAGAGCTGTCTCGGTTGGTCAGTGAGCGGAATCTGCTGGAGGTTTCAGAAGTTGAGCAAGAACTGGCCTGTCAGAATGACCATTCTAGTGCTCTCCAGGTATCTATTCAGTCCAATTTGATGAGCACCTACTGTGTGTAAGTCACTGTGCCAGGCAGAACAAGAGATACAAAGGCAAAAGTAATCCTTCTTCACTAACGTGGAATTTATTGTCTAACAAGGAGTTGAGACAAGAACACAGATTAATTTGATTTTAGATACAAGAGCCACAGGAGAAGAATAATGTGCAGTAGTAGAGGGTTCAGGCAGTTAATGAGTATTTAGGAGGGCATCCTAGGCTACTAGAAAGAATTCTAGACCAAAATCAGAAGATCTGGATTTTGGCCATTTGCCACTTACTGGCTTTGTGACCTGGAGCCGTTGGCTTATTTTCTGAGCCAGTTTCCTCATCTGTAAATGATATTTATCTCACAATGTTGTAAGGAAGATTTAAAGATGCAATATATATCAAAATGTATTATCTAAGTTTTTTATTATTGAACACTTGCTCTTTAGTCCATAAACATGTGAATGCCTGCTGCCTGTACATAGTGCTATAAGGATCCAGAGGTACGAAGAGGAAAAAGATACCATACTTTTCCTCAAAGAGCTCACATGATAGTAGGGGAGAAGGAAATTTAAACCAGGAATTACCATATGATAAGTGCTGTTATACTAGAGGTATTTACAAAAGGATATGGAAATACAGAGGAAGGACAACTGTTTTCCCTAAGGATGAGGCTTCTTAAAGAAGATGACATTAGATTGGGTCTGGACAAATAAGTAGGAGTGCACCAAACAGAGTAGAAGTGTACCAACCAGAGACAAGAGGGGAAATTCTTAGCAGAGATAATGCAGGCATGGAGATGGCGGGGGGCGAGGGGGGGTGGGTTAAGGGAACAGAGAATAATTCAATGTAGCTAGTGCAAGGTACAAGATGAGGAGTGGTCTTAGATAAGCCAGAAAGACTGGGGCCCGATTATGGCCACTGAAAGGAGATGGGGCTTTAATCTTAAAATGTTGAGAGTTACCAGAGGATTTTAGAAAAAAAGGGACATAATCAGACCCTGGCCTTAAGAAATTTGCAGCATTGTTGAAGGGACAAAACTAAAACACAAGAAACGCTTAGTGTTTTAAGGTAATATTTAATTAAGTCAAAATTGTGATGCTGACTATAATAAGATTGAGGTTATTGAGAACAGTTCCTTAGAGAAGATGATATTAAGATGGACCATCAAGAATGAACAGAATCTGGAGGAGGATTTCATTCAGGGTTAACAGAAAAGCAAAGATGCAAAAAAGTATGCAAAAAAGTAATAAGCAGTGTGAGAGTGGGTGTGGAAGAGAAATAGGAGATAAAATTGGATTGGTACACAGGAACCAGTTTATGAAGAAGCCTGTAAGAGGAATTTGCACTTGCTGAGATAAGCAAAGACATCCATTGTGGGGTCATTTGTAGAAAGTCGATATGATGAAAGCAGTATTTTAGGAAATTTAATCTAGTAAGGATGCTTTGGAGGTAAAAAAAAAAAAAAAAAA